GGTTTTTTTTTGGGGGGGGGGGGGGGGGGGGGGCGTTACCTGGAGGAGATTGCTAGCACTTAAAATACAGTAGAGGGAAGGAAGGGTTGTTGTGCTGGAAGATGCTAACGACTATCTTTCCAAGTAGTTGGAAGGGTGGTTCTGCCAAGCCAATGTACGTAGAGAGTTTGAGTAGTTCCCGCCCCCACCAAAGACATCTGTTCTTTTTCTCCAAAAAAACCAAGTTTACTTATTGGTACTTTGGGGGGAGGGCATTTTTTTATCACTCTATATACAAATACAAAAGGTTTTTGGCACAGCAACTGAGTCACTTTTCAGTTCAAACAGAATGGATCTTCCTGGTATTGTTGCTGTCACCTTCAAAATATTCTTCTGCCTGTGGAAAGATGCTGTGTATTGGGGGCATCCAGAGGCCCTGGGTTTGTGACTCACCACTTGCTTGTGGTGTTTCTGAGCTACTTCTCTGCTGTATCTTCTTTTGTGTCATTTTTGTAGTGGCTGCTTCTCAGCATCCTTCTTTTCTGTCAGTAGTCTTTCTTTTGAAACAGTGTTAAAGCTAACTGATCCATAATGGGTAGCATGGCTATTGTTAGACTCACATATGAAATCTTTTCTTTCCTTTTTTACTGTCTCCTAGAATGTTTAAAAAGAACACCCCCCCAAGCAGACAGTTATTTGGTTTGTAAGATCAAATAGTTCAAAGTCAGGAGATATCAAAGGCATGGTTGCCTATTCAACCTTAATTCTGTCTCCATGTTGATGGTTTGGTGTAATCTGTAATTAGTCACAGATCCCTGCTTCAGTCATTGTATTAGGTGGACTACATTTTAAGGCGCTGCCTATAGTGAGGCTGGTGACTTAAAAGATCCCTGCTTTGTTTGGTTAGAAAGTTAGAAAAATATATTTCAAATTTTTCAAAAAGAGGGTCCTTAAAGAAAATGAACCAATTAGAATGAAGGCATATGTAAAACACTGTAGCTGGATTACACCCAGAAGAAATCTTGAGATTTTCTTCTGCAACCCCCTGACTAACTATACAGTGTGGAGTAAAATCACTTAAGTAGGCCCCCTCAGTGCAGTTAGGGTTTTTTTTTTTTTTGGGTTTTTTGGGGGGGGGGGGCTTAGTTTGGGATGTAGTGAGCACTTGCAACTGTTTATGCAAATCAGTGACTGTTCCAGATAACTGGGTTTTCTAGTAAACAAGTAGGATATTGTTTTAAAATTGAATTGTGATTCAGGTTCTGAATTTCTTATTCCTGGAGAACCCATCATTTATTCCTTTCAGAGGTCATGTAAAGGTTTGCTAAAAGAATATAAAAATGGGTACGAGTATTTAAAATGCCAACAAATACCTCCCCTAATGACTCTCTGATTAAAGTTGGTACTTTAGATACCAGTAGTTGAAGGAGACTTGAGTAACTATTTGCATTAAACATTTGGGTCCTGTATTTCCAACCATAAAATGGTAAAACCATTTTTCCTTTAGAGAGAGTTGCAAAGATGATTGTTAAAGCACAGATAGATAGATGCTGAAGGAAAAAACCCTATGAAACAGTTCTTTTCATTGCAGCATCGAGATGGTATGTAATAAGCAAGACCTTGAGACTACATATTGTGTGGTGAGAAATATGCAGTAAGCTGTTTCATCCCCTGAGCGTGTTCCATCCTGTGCAATGAATGAGGCAAGAATCTTGTGAAGAAAAATAGAATGTCCTCATGTAATTAATCATGTGCATACAAGGGTCAGAATTAAGGTCAGACATAAACTTGCCTTTGCTTTTAGTAGCAATTATAATGCTTGACTTTGAAACTTTTTTAAAAACAGATTTTAAAAATTATTGCTTCAGATCACTCATTTTGAGTGCATGAAATTGTGCTGACTTTTAATACTTGTTTTTATTTTACAGGTCCATCATTTATATCAGAGAGCCCTTCAGAAGTTACCTCTATGTGCAACACTGTGGAAAGATGTAATGTTTTCTCCTTATGATTCAGTTTGAGGTTTCATATAAATTTTCTGCATATCCCATATCCATAGATGTGGTGATGCTCAAGCTCTGGCTAAATCTTATATCTGCTTCCCCATCTCTTACAGCAACTCTTGTTTGAAGCATCAGGAGGAGGTAAAACTGATAACCTGAGAAAACTAGTTTCCAAGTGCCAAGAGGTTGGAGTCAGCCTAGATGAGCTTTTAAATTTAAACACTTACAGAACAGAAAGCAAGAATCACTGAACGCTGGGTACGGTCAGCCATAAGTCCTATTAAATGCCAAAATCAGTTGAATGATTCTTCAGGCTGATCCATGCCTAAGATCTGTGTAAGGCAGATGAGTATTGCTGAGCATATCAAGTCTCCAATCTGCTTTCCTTGAACCTGGAAACAATTAACATGACCCTCCTCTGGAAAAATGAACTCCCTGTCTGGCCTTGCTTCTGGGCCCTGCCAGATTCTCATAACGTCATCTACGTAAGTATAGTTAATCAAAATGACAGACATTATTTTTTTATGTTTTCTTTTTATTTTCTGTTTTCTTTGTTTTGCTGTTCCTGATTCACTTGACACTCTCACTGATGCCTGAGAGATCTGTGTTTGGGATTAATTTACTGGGCTGTGTTTACAGTAAAAAAAAAACCAAGTAGTCCATTTTGGGTTTTTCCTTTTTTAAACCTTTTTTGAGACTTTTTCATTACAGGATTTAAAACAAAGCAGCCGCTCTTAAGGAAAGTGTAACTGCCGTGGCCACAAGTATGCTTCTTGCACTTGAAGGCTCTAAGAGGGTTGCTTACTACCCTTTTCTGCATTGGACTCACGGCAGAGACTATTAAACTTGAAGATTAAAGAAACTATTGCAAATGCCAGTGCATCAGAACCTAAGAGTGGTCAATTATGTGCAATTTTTTGTAAAGAAATTTTAATTTATAATAAAGTTTAACAGTTTAAAGAAAGCTAATATTGATCTGATTTTGTATTGGTACTACCTTGTAGTATTACAGGTGTTTTTACAGAGATATTTTCAATACAAGCCGACCTTTAAAAAAAAAAAAAAATCTGTTGTCTTTTGTTATTTTGATCAAAAGGTAGGCAAATGTGGTTGAGCTACCTATTGTGGATCTAGAATAACTACATCTTCATGTACATCCTCCTTTTGCCTCAGGTACACTGATGTTTGTCCCATAACAATTATTCTTGTCAATAATACCACTTCAGTAATAGAAAGTACATTTCGTATTTTGTCCTTTTCACTTTTAATGAAATGAGGCCTGCTTTCCAATGTCACTACATGTACATTGCAGAGAGATGCTGTCAGCCCACTGAACCAGATGGGGCTGTTCACATCAGGTTGGCTTTCCACCTGTTTTTCTATCTGTGCCAAATCATATCAAAAGATGGTTATAGTACCTTTTGCATAGGTGATTTATGAAGGTGCCATGAAGACAGTGAACGACGAGTGGTCTTCATGTCTGAGAATGAGGCAAAGTGGTTTGTGACAAATAACTTCAAGTAACTTTCAAAACTCTTACTTTATCTGAAGTTACATATGAAGCAGCTCTCTTAAAGGAGAGAAAAGTGGGAAATACTGGTTTTCATCTAGGGGAATGGAGGGTGGTTCTGCACCTTAAGTCCTTTTAGACAACTCATATTTAAGCATTGATTATAAAATAAGTAAAATTTCAAATACCCACTTTAATGGCCAGGTTTTCCTGCAGACTACACAACCAGTATCAGAGAAGGGACCTGGGCATCCTGGTGGACACCAAGTTGAATGTGAGCCAACAATGTTCCCCTGTGGTAAACATGGCCAACAGCCTCCTGTACTCCGTTAGCAAGAGCATTGCCAGCAGGTGGAGGGAGGTGATCCTTCTCCTCAGCACTGATGAGGTCACACCTGGAGTGATGTGTCCAGGTCTGGCTCCCCAGTACAAGAGAGGTATGGAGCTACTAGAGAGAGCCCCCTGAACAGCCACAGGGATAATTAAGGGACTGGTCCACCTCGCATATAAGGAGCGGCTGCGAGAGCGGGGACTCTTCAGCCTGAACAAGGCTTGGGGGAAGATCTTGCCATTGTGTACAAAAGGAGGGTATAAAGAGGATGGAGCCAAACTCCTCTTGGTGGTGCCCAGTGACAAGACTAGAAGCAATGGGCACAAATGGAAATGTAGGAGGTTTCGGCTGAATATCAGGAAATGCTTTTTCACTTTCACAGTAATGGAGCACTGCCACAGGTTGGCTACAGAGGTGGCGGAGATGGACCTGGAGATGCTCCAGGAGTCTTGGGCAGGGGGTTGGAGCAGATGACTTCCAGAGGCTGTTTCCAGCCTCAACTATTCTGTGATTGTCATGTTCCCTGTGTACATTTAACCTGTGTGCTTTCACCACCTTTGTCTAATCAGCTGCACCTGGCCCCTAATTGCCTTCATGCTCCTTTAGTCGAGGGCAAAAAGCAGGGAGCCAGGCCAGCAACCTAGGTGCTTTCCTGCTGTCCCTGGCTGAGACAGAGCTGTGAGCATGTGATCTTTTGCACTTGACTAACTTTGTTTGTAAATACTTCTTATCTTAGTCTATACAGTAGCTTAAGAGCTAGCTATGGACTTTATAGTGTCCTTAGTGGTTTTATTGAGGTGTTCTCCCTGTGCACACCCTTTGTTTTATGTAGTCAGTACAGGGATTGCAGTTACTGATAGAGGCTTCCTGCCCAGCTTTATTCTTCTGGAGGTAACCATGGCCTTCAATGAATGATGTATTTTAGGTTTTGTTTAGGTGATTGGTAGGAAAAAAAAAAAGAATGGTTTAAATTGAGCAGATGAAGGATGCTTGTTGATCTTGTATGACAGACAGGTGGTTGAGACCCTGTCTCAGATCTGTGAGGGTCAGGTGTAGAATTGGCTTGCTCTCAAAATCCTTCATGGATATTCCTTGTGCACTTGTGCTGCCCTCGGTGCTTGTTAACCACCATTCAAAAGAGCAGCTAACTTCTCAAAGCGACAGCGTCCCACCAAACATTAGAAATTCACCTCATCTTCAGAGGCGCTCAGTGAAAAGGGGTGGTGAAAACTTCTACATCTTCCAGCTTCCCTGCAGAGCACAATACAGCTCAAGCCCCTATATGTTCTGTGGTCTGTGGCACTGTCTTGTGTGTATACTCTGTCCAGCTGGATGCTTGGAACCAAGTCCATAGTACTCAAGCTTGAGATTGTGTTGCTAATGAAAGACTGGGTGCATTTCTGTCTAATCAGGAAGCATTAGCTCCTTTTTTTTTTTTTTTTCCCTTTCCAGGCTTTTACTATAAATGTCCAAAAATCTTACCCAGCCTTGAAGATTCTCTGTAATTATCACCTAGGGCCTGGGATTAAAATCCTTTGAAGGATTAATCATTGTTTTCCATTCCTAAGGGACTGAACAACAAGTAAGTGGTGAGAAACAAATCCAACGAGAAATAGCAGAGGTCTTGCTCACTGCCATTTCTTCTTCATTCTGCTAGTTCTTCATCTGCTGAGGATAGCCTTTTACTATAGCATGTGATAAATATAATGGCCAAATCTCTGTAAGTAAATGTCAAAATAATCTGAAACTTTTGCCTGTTCTTCAGCCTTTACTGTGGGAAAGACTATCCGTGCCAGGCAAAATTTGCTGGACTTTCCACACTGTGTGTTGCTGATGGCGTAATCTGTATTTATCTGAGAAAACTGATGAACTACCTAGCATCCTGGTTTTGGTTTGGGGTGTGTGTGGTGGTGTTTGGGTTTTTTTTTAAAGAACATATCCACATCTATATTTTGCTTACGAACTAGCAAATTGAACACTCCCCCTTCACCCTCTCACCCCAAACTCTTAAGTATGTAGCAAGTGTCAAAGGAAGCCTTCCTGAGACAAGCACAAGTGATCAGACTTGGAGCGCTCTTGAGCTGGACTGTTTTAAAATTGCAAACCATGATGACTGTTACAGAGGTGCAATTATCCCAGTACAGTTAATGATCATGAGCACATTCCTCCTGGCAATGTATGGATAACAATGTATGGATAAGTTGAAATTGCCTTGATCAAGGAAAATCCCCTTGTAACATGTTTGGGGAAGCAATTGATGGTCCCGGTGTGGCCTTAAGCTATATAAACACTTCATTGTCGTTGCAGTTGCTGTCATGGTTTTACTCTTCAGAATATGGAAGTTGCAAATCTCTAGAGAAATGTGCTCACACGATTGAAATGGAGGAGCCCTTCATGCAAAGATGACTATCAAAGACTCCAGCCTCTAGTGAGGAGGAGTGATAGGAAACATGCACCATAAACAGGCAGCAATCACAGAAAACTTCCCCTTGGAAGCAGGTGAATCATCTGTGAAGGAAGAAAAGCATCACAAAAATCTCTTCCTTGTAGAAGTTGGTTTTTCTGTGTTCCCGAGAAACACTTGGTCTGGCCCTCTGTTAGTTCTGCTCTCTTCTAGCAATTTTGGACATTGCCTGGTTTTGTTTTGACTTTGATCCATAAAGCTGACCACCTCAAGATTTTGAAAATAATCAAAATGGATTATATTTATCAAGTAGAGTATTTAATAGGACAAACTTGAATAAATTTTCTGTTAGAAGAAAAAAAGTAATTCTTGCCTTGCCCATCTGTGGGATGGGTTTGTGCCTCCAGGACGCTGATGCACTCGCATCTCTCCTTAAGCTGGCTGGACCTTGACTAAGCCCCTTCCTCCCCACGGGTAACTGGAGTTCATGTCCCATGAAATGTCACTCAGAATTACAGGGAGCAGAGTTTCTGTTTTATGTGAATAAATGAGAAGTCTGATCACCCAAATTTATGTCATGGAACAATTCAGCTGAGAGATGAGTGCATCAGTCATCTGATCAACTTTTTAGGATTATGAGGAGACTTCATCCCTGTGAACACAGAAACACAATCTGATCTATAATGTCGTTTCTCCCCACTAGTAATACTACTTTGGATTTCAAATATAAGGTTCCCAAGTGAAGGTCAGCTAGTCAAACCAACTGCAGTCCCCTTTCCCTTTGCAGTTTTTAGGTCACATCTCTGTTAGATTTCTGTGCTTTGGGTTTTGTTTTTTTTTTTTCCCTCACATAGCCATTAACTTCCTGAACTGTTGTGGAACAAACTGAACTCCATCCTTTTGGTGTCCAAAGGACACTATTTGTGTATCCACAGAAAATCACCGGCTGTTTCACTGATGCTGATTTTGGCGGGACAGGGAGAATGCATGGTATTTACATTATTTTAGGAATACAGAATTTTTAACAAACTGCATGTAATCAAGCCCATTTATGTTCACAGAGTTTCCTTGTCAGTTGTTTCTTAAAACCTAGCTTACCTTTCAGCATCTGGCTAATAAAGTGATTTATTTCCTTGGTGCTGGGAATATCAAAAGGATATAATTTGAACAATTTTGCTTGATGCTATGTTGCATCCTTGCATCTGATAGATTTCAAAGATCGTTTCGAAGTGAGTTGAACGGAAGCATCTATCTCTTGGTGGTATTTGATTACAAGAAATGGTTTGGTTACCCCCAAATTTGTGGGTTATGTATCTAATAAAAAGACTTAGTTGACTAGCTCTACCTACTTTATCTAACATATAAGATATACATGTCACGTCTCTGTTCTGTAACGAGAGTGTAATTGTAGGTGTGGCAATGCTCCTGACTAGCTTGGATGGAGTACAAAGAAAGATGTAGCAGCATTCATTTCAGAATTTTTCAGCGTCTTTCAAATCCTTTAGAAATTCCAAGTAGGTTACTGAGGTAGTTGTAGTGCACAGAAATAGATGGAGCTGTATCTTACCTGAGGAATCTAGACTAAAACAACAGCCGTCCTTACACAACCTGCTGTTTCACCTGAGACTGGGGGTCATCCTACCGCTGGTTTTAGGGAGTGATCAGGAATGAGATGAGAGCAGCAAAGGGCTGTTTTCCAGAGTCGGCCAGTATTTCATGCCAGGGGCTATTTGCTGCTCTGAAGAACACAGGGGTGTTCACTTACCCTTATCTGTAAGGTGGCTTAAAGTTTGCAAGGAACCCAAGATCAAAATTTGACTTAAAAGAGGATATAGGCGTTAACTGCTACTTTTCTTTTTTATTGCATGCTACTATTTGTTTTTGTCCTACCTGAGTAGCAGATAATAAAGCAGAGCATGGCTTGTAACTGAAACTTAACCTTGTAAAATTGTTGGCAATGAATTATCTATGTGTCTGTTTGCTCTCTGTTAATGGTAGCACAAAATCCGATCATAAAGTTTGCGGTGCTGCACCTGGGGTACTGGCAGAAGTGACCGTATCATGGCTCAGTAAAAAGTTGACAAAAATGGGAAGAAGCCTTTCAGTGCAGACAGCAGGGCCTGATCTAGCAGAAAATAGCCCGTATTTTTCAGCCCCTGCCCCTTGTAATCACATCTGCCTTTCCCATCAGCTTTCACCTTTCCCTCCTGAGGCTTCCTTTTCCCTCTGAAGCCTTCTGTGAACTTCCATTCTCTTCTGGAAGAGATGCTAAGGCACCTTTTTCTGCCAGGAGTGGTTGGATAGATTTTAGTGGGAAGGTCGCCACCAAGACCTGCACTGTTCAGATCCCTGTACAGTCAAGAAAAGCCGAACTTTGTCTAATCTGTTGGGATGGGAGTAAAGAGCGGCAGTGCATTCCTTACGTGGCCCTAGATAGACCAACAAGATTGAAGCATGCTTTCAAAAGGGCAGTGGCTCTAGACTGTGCGATTACAGGTACGATACCGTCGTTCCTGGAAAGTGATTGAGGGAGGTTCAACTCAAAATCTGCCTACACAGAGGACAAACTCAGCGGTTTAAAAAATTATATTCACAAAAGTCTTAAGATGGCTGAGGCTATGCCTAAAGCCACCAGTGCAGGGTATGCTGAAGGTTTGATGATGGATGCAGGCGATGGTGTATAGCAAGACCAGATTCGGTGGCAGATGGACACTCAGCACTGTGTGGACAGCACAGACACCTCATTGCCTCCTAAGCCAAAGTCTCCAACAGAAGGCAGTGGGCAGAGGATTCTGATGTAGCCGGGTACTCTGAGGCACTCATTAAAGAATTGGAGATTCTCTTAGAGGAGCCTATGGCTCTCTCTTACTACAGAAGGAGCCTGGAGAGGTCAGCATCCATGCCTTTGGTGTCAGCAGTCAATAGGACAGTCTATGCTGTCTTCGGGAGGAGCACCCAGTATGGACTCAGAAACCCACAATAAACTTGGAGTCTATAGACGAGGGCTTTGAGATACGCTGGGAGCAGTCATTCACAACAGCATTCGGCATTCCCCATCCACCAATGAGGCTCAGCCTATTTGCAGAACATAATGGGCTTTTTATTATCCAGAGGATTTTGTTGGTCTCTGTGGTGCATTCATCCCCTGTTGGTCTGAAACCAAAGGTCTTCATGGGAGGTTACTGTGCTCCCTACAGCACAAACATATGATAAAAGCATTGTTGACTATACAGGGCACTAACTGGTGGAATATTGTGTAGACATGTATTTTCTTTAAGCAGAAGTTGGACAACATCACAAAAGCAAGCATGGGTTGGTGACAGTAATTCTCTGTGAGAAAGGGTTAAGCTTTTTTGGTTTTTTTTCCTTTCTTTTTCCTCTGCTCCCTAGATACAGAAAAAAATGGCAGGACTCTCTTGCCCTTAGAACTTTTTTCAGCCAGCAACCCATGGCATATTTTCTGCTAAATTGTCAGAAGCCAAATGCAGGAGACTTGGATAAAGCCAAAGACTGAATTATGGGCAACAATCTTGTTTAGACTGCAAAGAACTTCTGCTCCTTGTTTTTATAGTGGGTCTGTCTGCTCCAGCTGAGCAATGTCCAGGGGGACTGGCATGTGGCACTTGTGCACCAACTCGGAATGGAGGAGTTTTGACTCAGTAAGTAGGAAGTCCTGCTTCCACGTGTTTTCTGGTTGTAAAGCCCCAGTATAATCTAATGGGTCTTCTGGAGAGAGAGAAAGGTATTGCACCATAAATAATGTAAGTGGATTTATAATTGCATGATGGGAGATAGGAAAATGATGCGTGGAATTCATCTGGGAGGCAAAAATGTCAATGTTTTTGTCTGAAATGAGCACGTGAGTGGGTCAGTGTCTGTAAGGTGCCAATGAACACAAAGCCTGTGCTTTTAGCACTTGTTCAGCATAATCCTCCCAGAGTGCTATGCTGAGCTGCTTTTGAAGGCCCTGTGCCAGGGCTTTATCAGATCAACCTAGATCAAAGGTTAGGCTTGATTATTATGTTTGTATGTCTTTCTGCCTTTTCTTCTGTCCAATTCTACTAAGCAGTCCAGAGGCTTTAAGTTATGAAAAGCGTTTGTTGAAATGGAGTAATGAAAACTCTTTCAGTCTGGCCTTCTCTCACCCAACACGTAGATGGGTGGAGAACACGGAGGTACAATGTCGAGACCTGAGCTCACTCCCTGTATTGTACACACTCTGATTTCTGAGGTAGTGGAAGTCCTAAATTGTAACTGGGACAAATGGCTGCATAGAGAATTGTCCATAGAAACCCGGAGTCGCAAAGCCTTGATGCAGTCACAAAGCACCCTCTGATGGGCTAATGGGTCTTATCCGAAGTTGGGGTTGTGTTTGCTAGGTCGCAGGCAATTAGACAATGGAGCGGACTGGAAAGTCTCTAAGCAAAGTCAGAAGTCCAGCCGGTTGCCTGGGATATAGTGCTTCCAGGTCTGCTGGACATGCTGCTAGGATGCTAAGCCCATACCCTGGACCCTCTCAGTCTGAACCATCTGATTTGTGCCAGAAACTCCAGAAACATTGGTTGCATTAATGGGACTGGGCAAGATACAGACTCAAGCACAGGCTAACAGTTCAACATGCTGTTAGCAGGCTCCTGGCATGGTTTTGGCCCACACAGCATCTGTCCCAGGTATTGTCTGGTGAATTAACACAGACCAGACACTGTTCCCAACAAGTCTGATGGACAAGACCACTCTGTTTTGAGGGAAAGAGGGATTGGAGGGAACGTAAGCGCGTAGACCTGGATTATGCTTTGAAGCCAGGGAATATCCCCAGATTGTTTAATTCACAGTACAGATGTAGCCACTGTGTCTAGGGGCATGGGTCAGGTTTTGTGCTGGTACTCTAGAAGGAGAGGAGCTCACAGAGCCAAGCACACTGACCGGAGCCTCCTGGCTCTTTCCTGGATGGAGCTGGGATCCTGGAAATCCTGGGTGCCCAAACTGCAGAAGGTGGGATCCTGATTCCTTTTCCTGGAGGCAGCAAGAGGCAGCAGCTGGTCGCTGGCCTCAGTGCTCTTTGAGCTGAAGCTTTCTGGTGCAGCTCACATCTCTTTTGCTTCAAGTCCCTTGAGCTAGCATGAAATGTCAGCCTTCTCAGGACTGATGGAAGAACAAGTACATAAACAGTTATGCAGGGTGAAAGAGGGGATGCTTCCCTAATAAAGTGATTATTTTTCCATCTGGCTTATAGAAACTGTGGTGGTGATGGCAATGAAGATCCCAATTTGACTGAGCAGTCAAATGTGTGCAAATTGTGATATGTTCTAGGACGTTTTGGCTTTTGAGGAGTGTAAGTAAGTCTCGTCATACATCCCTGCCGTAATTTGCCTACCTGCACGCTTGCTGGGCTGCAGTATTGACCATTTTCTTGGCTTCTCCAGCACACTTTCTAATGTCCCACCTGCCTCAAGATTTTGGAATTGGCAAATGTAACGCTTCAACAGGTTCGGGACATCCCTGTCCCATCTCCAGCCTTCTAAATACTCTGGGTTTAAAGCTTACCCTTTTAGATAGCTGAAGCAAACAGGAACATGTGCTTCCTATAGAATAATAAATGCATAGATATGAACAAAAGTAAGTCCCAATACACTTAGTTTCCTTGTTTCCCTGATCATTCTTCTGGACGGACATGAGAGTCCTCTGTACCTGATTTCCTAGTCCCCGTTTTCCCAGATCTGCTTGGCTGGGGTCTGTTTTCTGTGCCTTTGGCTTTCCTGCTATAATTTTCCTCAGCGTGGCTGATGAGATCCTTTTCTCTTATAATGCTGGAGCCCTTTGATCAGTTTTATCAGTTGATCTCTTCATTGATTATTTCCTTTCTGCAGTTAAAAGTGTTTTGCTGTGACTGGCAACCATCTTGCTGATCAAGGATGCTGTGTTTCGGATGGAAAACCACTGAAGCCTGAGGGCTCCCATTGCCAGCCTTGTGCCTGTCTCCACCACCACCACCGTGAGAGAGCCTGGGAGCATCCCTTCTGCCAGAATTCCCCAAATATGCACAGGGATTTTCCTCAAATTGTCTTTCTGAGCCTTCTGGAAGAGGGATGGCTCACGGAACCAGAAACTGAGAAGGGAATTAAGTGTTTCACAACGGCCGTGAGGCACACGGTGGCACTAGGTGCCTGGCGAAACAAGATCGACTTTCTCCAGCTGACCCTAACTGCCTGCGACCTCAGATCTACATCTCTGATGGAAGAGGCGAAAGCCTGAGTATCGCACAGCAAGACACAGTAAGAAATCTAGGTTTGCAGTAGAATGTCTGGGAATACTCTCTTAGCAAGTGTCTTCCTCCGTCTGTCATCTTGTCGTATGAATTCTGCTTCTGGTCATATTACACCCGCAAATCCTTTGGGGCAAGCTTTTCCTGTAATGCTTTCTCATGCCTCCCGCACATATACAGCCAGGGCACATTCCTGCTACCTTATTAAAAGATCTATGACATAGTTATTCAAAATATTGCTCACATTAAAAAAAATTATTAGTTTTTTAAAAGGTGATGGCTTAATTTTCAGTCTGGGTCCTTCAGAATCTTTTAATGGCTGGTTAACATCACATTGGCAGCCTAGACTTCTGAGCCATAAAATGTGAAACTTTTAAATTTTTTCCTTATGACAGAGGTATTTGGGGTAGAAAATCTGAATGACACGAAAGAAGAAATTTGCCAGGGAGCTCTAAGGGGGAAATAGAGCTGAACAATCTTTTTCTAATTATCCTAATAGACTGCCATTATCAGAAATGCTCTGTGCTCCATTGGGAAAGAAAGTCATGTTAATAGGAAACAAAGATATTTGATCCTTCGTAGATCAAAGCACTTTTACGATGCTGCTGTCATTATGAAAGACTCTGGGTGTAAGAATGGTACTTTGTGGACAGTGGCTCTATTGTTTGTCACTTATTTACCTTCTAAAAAAAAATAATCAGACCTAGTGTATCATTTATGAGGTTCCAGATTTGATGAGAAATGCTTCACTCTACCATAAAGCAACAGTTTTTAGGACTATGCTGTAGTTCACTGCCTACAAACATGAGAAGTTTCACTGTGCAAAAAAGAGTATTTGATACGGAAATAAAAACTTGCCAAAATCCACCGAAGTGCAGAAGGTCCTTGCAAAGCCTCTGAATTCCACACTGGAAAGGCCTGTGGGCTTTCTTACCCATTTTTTCCCTTTCTCTTTATGCTTACTTGCATTCAGAGTTTAGCTCTGAGAGCATCCAAGCAGCCTTTTTCCTTTTGTACTTACACAGTGCTTAGAGCAGTGGGATGCTGGTCACCAAAGCTCCAAAGTGCTCTGCTAACACAGATAATAATAAATGTAGAGAGAGATCGATACTGAGAACAGTTCATCTGTGGCTCACAAAATGGATTTCTTAACTGCTGTAAAACCCTCCGAGGAGGGAAAAAGTGCTTAAAGACCTGAAAAGGCCTATGTACATCAGCAGTGTTGTGTAAAGAATAGCGTCAAGAGTATGGGAGAAGGAGAGAGAATGTTTTTCAAGGGAAAGCCTATCAATTCTTGTAGGTAGAAAAGCAGTATTGAGGGATAGAACTAAATAATTAATAGTGGTAGTTTACTTTGACCTATATTTCAGTTCTGTACAAGCTAGTGTCACCAATTCCTATTTAAGTGGAGTGAATAGAAGAAAAAATGTATTTGAATGTTGAATAGCTTGTCAGTTCACCAAACTTAACACTTGATGAACCCAATAAAACAAGATTTATTGTTTTGTTTGTTTTCTACTGACCCTTGTATAAAGGTGGGTTTTTAATGATGTTTTTCATGGAAATGCTTTGTTTCTGCATGAGTATCTTTATCCTCTTTCTTTGATTGGTGCTCCATGAATAGTCTCATACTGTGGATGCACATACGTGTCTGTCTTTAAAACTGGAGATCTTTCTTCCCCCTTTTGCAATACCAATAAAGGGTACTGTACAGTCGTCCCCTGTGCCCAGCACATGGGTGCATACACAGTTTGCCCACTGCCATTTCAGTTTCTCTTTGCTGCTTTTTGGAATGAGGCACTTGGTGTCTATGAGGGTTTTTAAATGCTTTTGCTCCAGCTTCTTCAAACATTATCTTTTCCTGTACCTCTTCCAAATTCCACCTCTCAACCTCTATACAACCTCTCCGTGTTCACTGTCTTAGAGGTGGGCAAATTTCTGTTAAGTGCTCCGCTTGCAGTATTTTTAAGCCTAGACCAAGGAGGGCTCAGGACTTTCAGTTGCAAAGCTGCTTGTTCAGGAAGCCACGGAAGCTGCATCCACACCTCCAGTAACTCATACCGTTATTCTGTAGTTTGGAAAGAAAGTTACCTGAAGGTAGGAGGTGATATGGAGTCCCCTTCACTGGGATAAATGCAAGCAAGAGCACATGTCCCCAAAACTGCAAAGCTTTCTGGAATCTAAACTGATGTGCCAGAGGCACATCTTGGGTATTACTTAGCCAGAAGGACGAGAGGAGTGGGACAGAGCAGCAGGTAGAAATAGCAGCGAGGAAGTACCAGCGTCACCCAGAGAAGCAGATTTTGTACGAACAGGAAGGTTACAGAGCGTTTGGGTGAATCTGTGGCTGAACACGGAAATTGTCCAGAGCCGCCTTCAAGGCGACAGCATTTTGCAGTGTGCAGTAAATGAATGGGATAGTGCCAAAAAGGTATCTTTACTCTCTGAGGATGTCCCCTCCTCACTGGGCTTACACAGTCAGGGTATTTCACCATATCAGGGCATTTTAAAATATGAACGGGAGTTTCTATGCAGGCATATGGGGATTCCTGGTCTCCAGCAGGAAACTCTGGTTGACTTCAGTTGTCGCTGGAGTTAAGACTATACTGTAAAGGAAGCGCCTAAACCCTGCCCAAGGTGGGGAGAACTAGGCCCTGGCCTTAGAGAAATTCATACTGAAGTTGAATGACATTAAATGGACTTTCATGAATGTAGTCCTATTTTTGGCTTTTAAAATACAAAGTTAGTGAATTGGGTCAGAATGACAATTGCTAGATTAAACACTGTTCCTGGAAGTTGTCAACTGAGATGCTTTCTTGCAGGGTAGGTCTTGCAAACTTTGACTTGCTATATTGTCTTGTGTTTTGGGGTAGGACCTACTATGAACAATTTTAGATCTTCAAGTGTGAACATAAACGATGACCATTCTGGCAGCTGGAGCATCTCAAGCCTCTCTATATTCCACGGACTGGTGTTGAATTTGTTTGCAAAATGGAGACAAATCCAGTGGAAAATTTTGATGTTTTATTGTTTTCTTCAAGCTTCCTATGATTTTCAAGCAGCTGTAGGAGAAACTTGAGGTAAGTATATAAACCCTATTTCTAAGGAAATGGCTTTCTGTCTCATTCATTTATACAAATGGGCCTTCTACATTGTTCATCTATTACACTGAATTTAACAAGTATCAAATATACTGTGGCATCACCAAACAAAATAGCAAACGTGTAGAACTATGACTACCCTAGTGGCAAGCAATGACCAATTTCCTTGACAAATAGTCAGCTCCAAGAATCTGTGTATAAAATTTGTATGCAATTACACATTAATATTGAGGAATATGCTGAAATCTCACAAACTCCAGAATATCGCCAGTTGCCCAAACCTACAAAAAACCCCCAAACCACTCACAGGAAAATCCAACAATACGGAGGATTGTCTGTATACTGGGAGAAGTATATATCAAATAAAGCAAAACTCCTCATACTTTGCACTCACAGGAGGGCATTCAATTAAGTCAGAGAACTATTCTCCCACTTCATGAATTAAGATGCTGGTGGCTGGTTCTTCCACTTGGCTAGTTTGCCATGGTTTAGACACATTCTCATCGATCATCTCTTCTATGTACTTCCCTGGTACAAGGATCTTGGCTCCTCTTTCGTTTGCTGACTGATCATGATGTTCAGGGAGAGAAGTGCTGAGGCATTTGTTCACGTTGCAGACTTAAGACTGCTTTCATATCCTAGAATTCATTCCTCGGCCACACAAAACTTTCTGGAGTTCATTTTCATAGTTAACCAGAAAAGAGGCCTAGGAGAATTTCACAGAAGGCTGTGGTACTTCCTATAAGAGACAAAATCTGTTTCTAGTAGAACAATCTTCCCAATTACTTTTTTCTTAGAAGGCCAGGAGAGCTCCTTCCTCCAGGAAAAGGTCAGTTCATAAACTGGAAATGCTGATAATAACTGCAGTGACAGCTATAGATAGTCGTGAGAAGCTGTTGTTATGCATGGAACCAAATTAATAACTGCAGACACCTGTCAAAACAGTGATTACATATCAAGAATGACACCAGATGAAAAAGGAGATGTTTGAAACTTCCTTCAAGTATTAGTTTTGGAGTCCTGAGACTTTCAAGGCCAGTTGGAGAAGACTCTTGGTATGTGCATGCATAATACTTAGTGGAAGTCTTTAGATTCACAGATGGACAGTTTTTTCCCTTGTTAATGAAACATATTTTTTGCTTGACAAGTGGAAAATGATGCCACCTGTGAAAAGATTAAATAGGGATTTTCAGTGTACTCTTTGTGACTGAGTTTTTTAGAAATCCTGGCTGTGGGCCAGCTCTCAAGAGGAATATTCTTAATGTTTGTTTTTTCCTATGACTGAGATTGGATCCTTAGATAATTGCGACAATGCCACAACAAATTGTTTTATGGAGGGAACATACTCAAATTTCCTACGTCTCCAGAGTCACTGGAGCACAAGTCTGTGATTCTCATTATGTGAACAAGATGTTCTTAATGCTGATACTGCCTTTTCTTTCCAGTAAACTTGCAAGCATTAGGTATAACACATGGAATTCCTTCTACTGTATTTATTAGCATGGGTAAGTTTGCATTTTTCTTTAAAATTTCTCATCTCATGTAACTGGGACTCTGTTCAAGCAAAGACAGATAAAGAGTTGAATCAATTTCCTAGGCTTAGTTTAGATAATACACAACAATACCCACATTATTTTTTACAATAACATTGTTGCAGAATGACAGCTTTGTCCCTTGGTTGGCACATGTTTATTGAAAGAGAACACGACGTGCTTATTGTGGTTGGTGGAGATGCTGGTCCATCCTTTGCTGGTGGAAGCAGTGCAGCTCTGCTGGAGTTTGAGAGCTATGTTCTCCTGCAGCACCTGAGCATCTGCACAATTACTGTGCCTCGTGGATCTGCAAAGGATTTTCTAACACTGTTGCTGTTGCTGCTGTGATCCTAGTTCTGGTCTTTTATTGTTAGCTTTCCTGTACTCATGTTCTTACTCTTCTGTCTCCACGTCCTTATCTTCCAGTGCTTTCCTGAAGGAAGAACATTAATTTTGCTACAAACATTT